TGCCTAAAGCTTAAGTAACCAAACTAAAAATAGAGAAATTGGATTTTTTTAAATATTTATTTATTTTTGAGAGACTGAGACAAAGTGAGACTGGGGGAGGGGCAGAGAGAGAGGGAGACACAGGATTGGAAACAGGCTCCAGGCTCCGAGCTGTCAGCACAGAGCCTGACGCGGGGCCCGAACCCACAGACTATGAGATCATGACCTGAGCTGAAGTTGGACGCTCAACCGACTGAGCCACCCAGGTGCCCCAGAAATTGGATTTTAAAATTAAAACCTATTGGGGCTTCAAAGAACACTATCAAGAAAATGAAAAGACAGCTTACAGAGTGGAAGAAAATATTGGCAAATCACATATCTGATAATTGTCTAGTATCCAGAATATATAAAGATCTTATACAACTCCACAACAAAAAGACAAAACATCGTCATTAGAAAATGGGCCAAGCATCTGAATAGATATGTCTTCCAAGAAGATCTATAAATGGCCACTAACAACATGAAAAAGTGATGATTTTCATTAGTTGCCACAAAAATACAAATCAAAACTGTACAGAGATACCACTTCATACCCGCTAGGATTGCTATAATTAAAAAAACAATAACAAGTGTTGACATGGATAGGGAGAAATTGGGAACCGTCATACATTGTTGGTGGGAATGTAAATGGGTGCAGGTGCTATGGAAAATAGTTTGATAGTTCCTTAAAATATTAAACACAGTTACATTACTATATAATGATCCTTATCTTGTATAATTCACCTTTTCTCTCTACTGAGAACAAGCTTGTGCTATAACAGAATGAGAACCTAGGAGCCAGGAGGTAAAATTTGATTCCTAGAGCTCCCATTTACTAACCAAGAGCAAAACTCCTTTCTGGGTTTCTGCTTTTTTACCTCTAAAATGGGGTTAATGACCATGTCCACAGCTGCCAAGATCAAAGGAGATAAACCTTGTGAATTAAATCCGTGCAAACATATGATTTTGACAGTAATGATGGTGGATACTGAAATGACTATATTCTTACCATCCCTTTGCTTTCTGTAATGCTGTGATGATAAGGTGAAGATGATCTTTACCCTCCTCAAGAGCAAGAAGAATATATTCTGAACAAGAACTATATGTCTTGCATGTTTATAACTCTCAGTAAACATAAACCTTTTTTTAGTCAGCATGTTTCAAAAATATTTTGATTTCTTTGAAAGAAAAAAGTTACATGAAAATTGTTTCATAACTCTTACTGGAAGTGGGTGAAAGAAAAATAAGTCAGCAAATTTGAGAAGAGGATATTGTAGTGGGGCGCCTTGGGTGGCTCAGTCGGTTAAGTGTCCGACTGTTTATCTCAGCTCAGATATCGAAATCAGGGTCGTGAGTTCAAGACCCAAATTGGCATGAAGCCTACTTAAAAAATGTTTAAAAATTAAAAAAAAAAAAAGAGGATATTGTACCAAGACATGTCACATTGAAGATCATGAACACCTATGAATCAAATGTATTTAATTCTTTGATGCAATGTTCAAATCTTTGCAACAACCTAATTCTTCTGAAAATTAAATTGTCCTCTTTAGGGAATCTCATAAAAAGAGCATTGAGCTGAGAATGAGAAAACACAGATTCCGGTGCTTGGCTCTCCTAACTAACTGTGTCTAAACTTGGGAATATAGCTGCATTCTCTGGGCCTCACTTTCCTCATCTATTAAATGGAGGATTGAACTACAGCCTGAAAATCAATTTATTTACTTCAGAAATTTGAGAGAACTTGTGTCCTGGTATGTGTTAATTTTTATGAGTCTAAAATCAAAAGTGACAAAAGTGGCATTTCACACTGTGGGGAAAGGTGAGATGGATTGTCCAGTAAATAGGGTTGGGACAACTGATCTGGTTAGCCATTAGAGGAGGAAGCCCTCAAATCCTGCCTTTCAAAGTCAACGTAAAATGTAGATGGATCAAGCATTTAAATATAAAAGAGTAAAGCCACAAAGAACTGGGGAAAAAACACAGTTGAATAATTTTACAATGTTAGTAATCTTAAAGTGTGGGATAGCACTTTTAAGTTTGACATGAACCACTGGAGTCATGAGAGAAAAGATTGGCTAATATTACTACAAAAAACTAAAAAAAGTTACACATAGGAAAAAATTACTGTACCCAAGATTCAAAGTCTACACACTGGGAAAAAAATATTAATAGTAATAAGAAATGGAAAGTAATTGAAATGTCCATCATAAAGGTTTTGGTTGCATAAATTATGGCATAGTCATAAAATGGAATATTGTACAAGTACAGCAGATAAAGACTGAAATAGACATGCATGCACTGATGAAAGTTGCCCACGCTTATTGTTAAGCAAAAAAGTCCCTTTGAAAAACAGTACGCTCTAGATTTTTGTAATATTTGTAGAAAAAACTACAAGGTTATACACATCAAATTGTTAACAGTGGTTACTTCTAGGGATGGGAGTACAGAATACTTACTAAGTTTTTTTAATGTAATTGTGGTAATGCATTTTTTATAATGAACATAAATCTTACATTAGAAATGTTTTGGGTTTTTTTAATGTTTATTTTCGAGAGAGAGACAGAGCGTGAGCAGGGGTGGGGCAGAGAGAGAGGGAGATGCAGAATCCGAAGCAGGCTTCAGGCTCCGAGCTATCAGCACACAGCCTGACATGGGGCTTGAATCCATGAACTATGAAATCATGACCTGAGTCGAAGTCAGCCGCTTAACCAACTGAACCGCCTCTTACATTAGAAATGTTAATAAAGATATAAACATTGATTTTTTTTTAAGTTTATTTATTGACTTTGAGAGAGAGAGCAAGCTGGAAAGGGGCAGAGAGAGAGAGAGAGAGAGAGAGAGAATCCCAAGTATACACTGCCAAGCATGGAGATCATGACCTGAGCTGAAATCCAAAGTTGGTCGCTTAACCAACTGAGCCACCCAGGCACCCCTATTGATTTTTATTTATTTATTTTATTTGTTTATTTAAAAAATTTTTTTAAATGTTTATTTATTTTTGATAGAGACAGAGCATGAGCAGGCGAGGAGCAGAAAGAGAGGGAGACACAGAATCCGAAGCAGGCTCCAGGGTCTGAGCTGTCAGCACAGAGTCCGACACGGGGCTCGAACTCACGAACCGTGAGATCATGACCTCAGCCAAATTCAGACGCTCAACCGACTGAGCCACCCAGGCGGCCCAAACATTGATTTTAAAAGAGTGTTTTAAGGTCTTACAATCTTGGAGACTTATGTAGAAGGCCACACCTGTGTTCTGTTTTGTAAGGTTTAGAGACTTCGCTCCCAATTCCTCTGTAATTGGGAGAGAAGTCAGACCATAATAATACAAAATAGTAGTTGAAAAGGGTTTGGGGGTTAAGTGTATTCTTTTATTATACCTTCTTTAATTTTCTTTGCAGATTCCGTTGCAGACACTCTGGATGGATAATGCCATTAAACTTCTGGAACTGGTAGAAGTTAATAGTTCAATCCTCACTGGTACTAACTTTTGAATAGCTGATGTGGAAAATGTTTTCACTATAGTCCATTTGAAAATGTGTCTTTTTTACCACAGGTTACAGTTACTAAAAATAAGAGTTCTTTTAGTTTGTGTCAGTTCAATAATAATTATATTTTATATTCATTTATTGTCTTGCTCTTTGCAGTGTCCGTTCACATGTATTTTTTCATTCAGTCATTGTAAGAATGTGGGAAGTAGGCAAAGCAGTGTTACTATCCTATTTTAAGCTCTGATTCTTTATACTAAGGTTTTCAGGGAGTGCAAAATGATTTGGTCAGTTTCATTCTGGTGAATATCATAATGAAAATCTTAGTGAGAATCCTAGACCAGGGTGTAGCATTTCATGACACAGTCTGTTCATTCTAAAGCCCATCAGTGCCTCCAAATGTGGTGGACTGAAGGAGTGTGAGTCACAGAGGGAGCTGGCCCAGCACAGAAGGAGTCAGAGTTCCCCAGGAATCTAAGACTTGTTTGGTCATGGATAGAAGGGCCAGCTTAGATCCTAAGCTTCCTGTATACCTCTCCACTGGTAGATAGTTATTTCCCCCAAATGGTCAAAATTTCTAAATTCAGCATTTTTAGTTTATCTTGGGAGACTGGGTGAAGGACGCATAAGTTCCTATGCATACTGAAAGCTTCCCTTTGAGTTTGAGATACACACAGCATTATGGCTCCATTGTAAATTTGGATTACAAAGTCAGGACATCAGCAGGTATGCCCTCTCCAGTATTAGTACTGCCTCCCAGGATGTTTGTTTGATTTTTCAGAAGCGCCATGAAGTTTTTTATAATAATTATTTATTCTAATATCCTTTTCCCCCCATTCTTTAGATCCAAAATTAACAGGACAACCTGTTATTCCAGGATCAGTAATATATCACAAACAGTCACAAATTCTGCTGGTTTGTTGCAAGGTACATTTTTCTTTTAGTTTTAAACTATACTTGTTTTACTGAGTTTAATCATTTTTAGTTAAGATTTTACTCAACTATCCATCAGATTGAACATTGGCTCAATCTGGGCAGTTTTTGGTTTTTTTTTTAATATTTATTTAGTTTTTTGAGACAGAGCATGAA